TGCCTGGCCAAAGGACCCGGTGCCCCCCAGTCCCTTCTTGGGAACAGAGCCCAACCGGAGTTTGAAGATCCAGGGATCTTCAGGGGAGACAGCAACCAAGAGTTCACCTCTCCTTCCCCAAAAAAGAAGCCTTTTGCATGTAAAGTGAGATAGCTAGTGCCCCTGGAACCTGAGGAGGGGTTTTGGTACCAAGCTTGTTATTGCTGCCTAAATATCAGGTTAAAATGAAAGAAAGGAAAGAAAGGAAAGAAAGGATGGAAGGAAGGATGGAAGGACAGAAGGAAGGAAAGAAGGAAGGAAGGAAGGAGGGAAGGAAAGACATTTAAGAAAACTATAAATGTTACAAAACAGAGAAAAGGAGGGAGGCAGTGTATGTACATATGAATCTTGTAATATGATGTGATTTTTCAGATCTTTTTTAAAAAAATATTTAATCTATTTGAATCTTTGACATTTTCACATTTAAACATGATGGGGTTTGCCATTAACTTCAGCACCTTTTTCTGGTAAATCATGGGCTTCAGATGTTGTTGAGGATTTAAACTAAAATATATTAGGAGCATAAATTAAGTTCTTCTACAGTATGCATGGTCTCCTGCAAACACACACCACTGGCCTTTTCCTTGAAGGTGTGAGTGGTACCAGCTCGCTCTTTTCTCCAGGGGAAACAGAGGTCTCCCTTCTGCTCTCAGCCGGTTTCCCCTCACCAGCCCCTCAGGTGCTGCTTCTAAACAACTCGGAAACAGGAAGGGCATGTGGAATTGCTGTGGTCAGTTTTGAAGCCAGGAAAACAAATTTTATTTATCGTATAGGATTTCATATATGCTTGGTAGCCCTGTGAGTCCAGATAGAGTAAGTATATTATATGCTACTTTCTGATATGAATTATTTTTGCTTATACAGTGTTGTATCTATTTTTTTACTTATTCATTGTACACTGATGCCGAGTCCTCGACATACACACTTTCTGAGTCACAAACCCACTTAGTGAAATTAAGAATTAAGAGGGAAAATGGGTCCGCTCCCTCCCAGTTAAACTACCATAAGAGCTGGTTCTGGAGCTGGACCATAATCATCCTCGAGGTGCTGAAGAGCATGTGCTGGAGGGTACCAGCCAGGAGAGCTGGGAATTAGGCATGCCAGAGGTGTGTTTTGCCCCATGCAGATGGAGCAGGTCGGCATCTGCTTGGTGATTTTTCTTCTATAGGGAATTTCAGCTTTTGCAGGAATCGGCTGCGTATGAAATGCTCACGGCACCAGAGAGCGGGCTGATGGCGTGCCCGGCCCCTCGGCAGCGCCTGCCCTCCTCGCCACCCCAGCCCCAGCCTGGGGGGCAAAGCCTTTGCTGGGGGGCTTCTTCAGCACAGAAGTTTCTTGACGCTTCCCGAAAGCGTTCACGGGCGCTCACTTCCTGCCGCAGCTCTGCGCTCGCCGCGAGGGGCCGGAAAG